GTGCCTTATATAGTATAGTATATATTCATGAATATGTGATAAAATCGAGTAAGCCCTGCTTTCAGAGGCCTTTCAGGTTATTGGTAAATATAGTAGACTTATATATTTCTGTCATTGCAAATGTGTCCAGACAACTAACTATTGCATCAGAGTTTAAGCTTTGCTTAACTTACACACAGCTGAGGTTGAAAATATTTACCGGTGTATAATGACCACTTGAGAGCAAATACACTGGTAAATAACCTATTTACCAACTTTAGAAGACTGAACAGTTATGCTTCATTGAAATAAATTATGTCATGGATTTAAGGGTTCAGAGAACAAATGATAAACACTTTGTTAGTCGTACAAATTGTGTATTCATGCCTTTGAAATGGGACCGAACTTATGATTCAAGTTTTCTTTGAGGAATGTGGACCTCTGATTATCCTGGTCTTTTGCTGGTGCCCCATCTTTGTCATGTCTCCATCATAAAGTGTTCACTACTGTAGGTCCATTTTAGTCTGTTCTTTCAGTGTATGTGACTTTTAGCCGTACAGAAAGACCAGAGTAGAAACAAAACAAAAAGCTTGGCATCCAAAATGGTTTTAGGCAAGATTTGTCTGGATGTTTATCATGTTGACTCATAGTTTTGCTTGCCATACACTCTTTGTTAATTGTAATATAAACTGCCTAAAGGTTTCTATGATGGTGCAAATAGAGTGTTGCAGTAATTACATATTTTTGTAGGCCAACCTGGGAGTTAGCATAACAAGGGCTGCCTCGACAAACGGCAATTAAATGTTTCCATTGGATTCTGAAATATTGCTGAAAATTAGCTCTGTGGCAGTCACATGTCCATTACTGTACATGTTGTGTTCAGCAGGATGATCTCAACATATTAACACCTATTTTCTAATAGTCAAAGCATTAACGCAATTGCCAAAAGTAAAAAGCTAACGCTAGGATATAAACAAATGGCATCATGGTCGCATGGCTGTGTATCACCACCGCTAAGCTAAAGGCGGCTAATGTTAGCGTGATTGGTAGTATCATATCAGTGCTCAGTCCTTCACTCAATTTCAATACCAAGGCAATTTGAGTTGCTAGCAGTCGAAATAACTATAGCAAATGCTCCTCTCACTGTTATTGGCTGTTATAGAACTCCATCGGCCATCATGGATGAAACCACTGGCCTTACTGAATTGTTGTCTACGTTTTCTTCTGAAATCATATTATTGGGTGATTTAAATTGGGACTGGTTGAGTGATAAATCTTCACAGTTTAAGCAGGTTTGTGATTCTTTGAACTTAACTCAGCTTATTGATAGTCCCACTAGAATAAACCCTGCCAAACCCAATAACGATACCCTTATAGATGTCATTCTAACAAATGCAGCTGATAAGTATGTGTCTGTTGGTGTTTTTCCTAATGATATCAGCGACCATTGCACTATTGCTTGCGTTAGGAGCAATAAGTTGCCCAAAGCCAAGGGCCTTATTGTGCTCAGGCGCTGCTTCAAACACTTCTCTGAGCAGGCTTTCCTACACGATCTGGCGGAGGTTAAATGGCACTTCATAGCGTTAATTCCATCTGTCGATGTTGCATTGATCACTTTTTATCGATTATTAATAGACATGCCCCCCTTAGAAAAATAGGAACACTCCATGGTTTACTAGAGAATTATCTGATCTAATTCATGATCGAAATAAGCAATGGTCCTTAGCTAGAAAGTCTAACACTAGTGATGACTAGCTTATTTTTCGTGTCCGCAGAAATAAATGTCCAGCCCTTATTAAAAAAGCTAAAGCTGTTTACTATCTGAGCTTAACCACTGATTGTTTTAATGACCATTCTAAGGTCTAACAATTAAATCACTTCAGAACAAGAAGGTTTCGAGTTTCCCACAAAAACTGAAGGTCAGTGATTCTTTTATTTCGGATTCCCTTTAAAACTGTGGGTTTTCTTCGGAAGTTTTTCCTTGTACGATGTGAGGGTCTAAGGACAGAGGGTGTCGTATTGTCATACTGATATTCTGTACAAACTGTGAAGTCCACTGAGACAAATGTAACATTTGTGATATTGGGCTATATAAACAAACATTGATTGATTGATTGATTGATAGATGGTATGTCTAATGCTTTCAATGCTCACTTCAAAAAGGCTGGTCACATTTTTGATGAGCAAGTCATGACTCTCTAAATGGTCGTACTCACAGCCCAAGTCAAGAGATGAACTCCCCTGTTTTTGATTTAGCATATTTCTCGGTCTCTGAAGTCTTACAGGGTTTGCAATCACTTGATCCTAAAAAGTCTGCCGGGCCTGACGGCCTCGACCCGTTCTTTTAAAAAATTGCAGCTCAGATTATAGCACAACTGATATTTTTAATCTCTCCCTGTCCACCCACACACTGCCAGCTGTGTGGAAGCAAGCTCTGGTATCGCCCCTCTTGAAAGCTGGTGATCCCATGGAGTTGAATAACTATTGTCCTATCTCAAATCTTTCTGTGTTATCAAAGATTCTTGAGTCCCTAGTTTCTACCCTATGCAATCTGGATTCAGACCAAAGCACAGTACTGTGACTGCCAGTCTGAAAGTCTTAGACGATATTAAGGCTGCTTTGGATAAAAAATCTGTTTGTGTTGCATTGTTTATTGACCTAGCCAAAGCATTTGACACTGTAGATCACCACATTATGTCTAATGTTATGTTGGTGTCTCGTTTCGGTCATAATGCCATTTGCTGGTTTCAGAGTTATCTAACCGACCGTACTCAATGTGTCAGGTTGGGTAGTACTGTCTCTGACCCTGTCACCTTGAAGAAGGGAGTTCCACAGGGCTCTATTTTGGGGCATTTGCTCTTTATTATATGTAAACAATATTTGTAATCAGATGCAATTTTCTACCTATCATATGTATGCTGATGACACTATTGTATACTCATGTGCTCCTTCTCTGGATATGGCCGTTTCCAATTTAAAATCTGATTTTATCACGCTGCAACATGCACTTCTTGATTCCAAACTGCTTTTGAACAGTAAGAAAACCAAAGCAATGCTTTTTGCTCCCAAGTCAGCATCCTCTTGCCTCTACATTGACACCCTTGATGGCGTCTCTGTTGAGTTTGTCGATACCTACAAATATCTGGGCTTTTGGTTGGACAGTAATCTGAACTTCAAACACCATATTGAAGTTCTAACAAAGACATTGAAATTCACTCTTGGCTTCCTTTACAGACTTAAATGTTGTTTTTCAACTTCATCCCGTAAAAGGTTGGTCTCTGTCTTATTCCTGTCCCAGCTGGACTACGGTGATACCATTTATAGATTTGCCTGTCCCACTGTTTTGGCCAAACTTGACCCACTCTACCATGCTGCACTGCGTTATATATCAAATGCACCCTATAGGACTCATCATTGCAAACTGTATAGCCTAACTGGATGGTCCTCACTTACTATGCGTAGGATGCAGCATTGGTTTTTATTAATGTATAAAGCCATTTTAGATAAGCTTCCACTCTACATATGTGCCAGATTTGCTCCAGTTTGTGACTCTTACAACCTCTGATCCAGTGCCTGGATACGGTTCCAGGTTCCTGCTGTGCGGACTGAGGCTGGAAAAAGGAGTCTTTTTTATTATGGTCCTTGGTCTTGGAATGACCTTCAATCACGCCTCAAATTGATGGCACTTGTCTCAATAGCATGTTTTAAATTGAAGTTGTCTGAAGTCCTTACCACCAGCTGCTCTTGCAGTAATAAGTGTACCTTTCTTACTGTCCCAAATGTGCACAATGTAGTGACTGCTTTTTTGTCTTTTGTTGTCTTAGTTATGTTCTCTGTATTTTATGTTTGTGTTATGTGTAACGTTGCTGCCTTCTTGGCCAGGTCAGCATTGCAAATGAGATTCTATCTCAATGCTTTTATCTGGTTAAATAAAAAAATAAAAAAAAATATTATATATATAGTCACTCGTTAGCAACCGCCATTTTTAACATGATACACAGATGGGGTATTTACTGAAACATTTTATGTTGTAGAACATTAGGTTGAATCTCTTTAGCTTGTGTTAACGACAGACCTTATTTCAGGTAACTAACCAAAAATACATTAGAAAAAAACCTCTATGTCTCTGCTGCTTTGATAATGCGATTCTATTTAACTTTAAGGAAGTCGAATAATAGCCCTTATTTAGTTTGGGCTACTTAAGATACTTCTCCTACAGCTACCGTTTTATTTACTTTAATGATACAAGTATGAACACATGTAAAGGTTTTTAAAGCTGCACTTATATTTTAACATTCAAAATGAATTAAATGACAATGTGTAATTTGGAAAAGCTCACTAGTAATGCTATACCTACAGAATTATCACCAACTTTGCATTTATTATTAAGATTTTGTTAATTAAGCTGATTGCACTGTTCGGGTTGAGTCTCACAGCTCTCATCAACCTGGTCTCTAGTAGCAGGTGCTGTTTTCAGAGGTATAAGATTGGATAAAGATCCTTTAGCAGTTACTGTAGAGACAGATATTTTTCTCAGGAGTTGGTGGATTGTGCTCATGTGTTAGCAGTTATTTTATTTAGCCTTTATTTATACAGGTGTAGATCTCATTGAGACACAAGGTCTCATTTTCAAGAGAGACCTGTCAGTGGTAACACTACCACACTGTTAGAACAGCATTTGAATGGGTTATTATGTCAATGTTGTTTACAGTGTGTTCTGCTGCCCCCAAGTGGCCAAAAATCAATCAATGTTAACCCTTTTAAAATCCGAGGAGTTATTCGTTCTTATAGCAATTTATAAAGCTAGAGTCCAGATACTGATATCATACGAAACAAAACAAAAAATTAGAGCTCTGTGTGATATATACTTTTGAATTTGTATCTCACCTGAAGGACCTTTGTCCCACACCCCTAACAAAGAGGTGGGGGAGTTGCTGAATGTTGTTGTGTGTGTGAGACTGGTGATGAAATCATTTGCAAAGGATCCGAAAAATACTGTTTTCTCAAAATAAAAAGATAAAAACATGCAAAAACGTTTTAATTTGTAATCCAAATTACACATATACAAGGATTCAGGATATTAGCATGTCATTTTCCGAGACAACAGCCAAAAGAACAACAAGAGAAAACAATACAATCTGTACATATTTTAGTTTACAGTGAATAGCCAGTTGAAGACTACCAGAGAACACTAAGGCAAACCATCAGCAGACAAAATAAACATTGCCTTTTTTGTATTTAATCCACCACAGCAGAGTAAGAAGAATTTTTGCTACAAAAACAAGGACTGAAGTCTCCCTTTATTAGCGATCAGCTGCATAAGTTACATTGTGATAAAAGCAAAACAAAAAACAGAAGTTCTATCTAAAGTCTAGCATCACTGTACATGTCTTCTCACAAGCTTTTGAACACCAAACTGTCAAAAATATGTGGCTCTTCTGTACGGCTCTGGGTTTCACCAGTCTGCCTCAAAATCTAAATAAATGTCCATTACTTAAGGATGGTAAAAGAAAATATATCTGGCTTCAGGCCTCCACAGAGGACACAAATACAGTCCCTTAATACTGTACGTCTGTGGGAAAAACGTCATAATTAAAGGATGCTGAGGTCAACGTCAAAGTAAACCGTTGTAATGTTAAAAGTCAAAGTAGTGAATGTAAATGCTGCATTAGTATTGCAAGTATGAAATACTGACAAGTAAAGCAAATCCCAAGTGTTTAAATGCTGCCTGGCACTGGTCCACTGGCAGACTGACAGGACATTGATCCCCTTTTGCTATTAATTTTACCATATTAATGCCAATGAACAATCCCAAATGACATTGTGTAATTGCCTGCCTCACCATAGTTGTTGCTTGTTATGCAAATTATTTTTGTATCTGACTGGTGGAAGTACTCAGAATCTTTATTTACCTCAAGTCAAATGTTAGCTGGTATTTGGTTAGCACCCCAAAAGGGGCGTGGCCATAACGTAGAAGGAACGTACCAGGATGGGTTGCTCTCGTATAAATAAACCATTACCCCTGATCAAATACTCCTTGGCACATTTGAAGACCAGTGCAGATATAATGATGATGAGTTGATACTGTTTTTGTTACCTGCACATATTGCATGTTACAGCAGTAGGCTTTGGCAGACATGTGTTGTTTACATTTGGTAATATAGAGCTGGAGATGGAGTTGTGTGCTTGTTTATTCCTCAGGTGTATTGACTCCAGAAATCAACGTAAACAAACCTTCCATTTGGTTTTAAAGCTGTGTTGATCATGACACAGATGCTCTGTATTAGTCACTTGAAGTCGTTCTGTGAGATTACCTTACAATGTGTGCAACTCTGTGCTTTTGCGTGGCAACTTAACATGGATTTGTCTTTATGTGATATTGACAGCCATACCATGCTTGTGAGAAAAAGTCAGGGTTCATACTAACAGATTTAGAAGCACCTATAGTGGTTATTTGCACAGTACATGTATATACGAAATCAATGTGATTCAACTTGTTGTGTATTTCATTTATGGAAGTTGAATGTTTCATCCTTGTTATTATGCTCCAGGGAATAAGAATACCCATGTCAAATCGGTCAAATTGTCAAACAAAAACTACTCTTTCTCTCTTTCTGCAAAGAGAGGTTTTTCTTTCTTTTATCTGCACAACATAAATGGAAATCATATTTCATCACTTTATCTTGCACCACTTTGCTTTTCTACTTTATCATCTGGCAAATAGGCTCCAATACATCCCATTAACATTTCCCATTTGTGAAAGTGCTGCAAGGACATAACCACAATATTTAAACTGCACTAAAAATACCTTTTGCTGCTTGTAATAACCTCCTAGGTTTGTGAAGAATTTAATTTGTTGTGCAACTAAATGTGCAGGATTATCTGAGAAGAGAGATATAAAAACAGGGGAGGCATTCTTCAGAGCACTTCCATCAAAGCTTAGACATGATGTTGGAGGAGGAACATCAGTGTGGGGGACGCGGAGAGGATATCAAATATTCTGATTTTGGCCGGCTTTGCTAACACGGGCAGTCAGTCACATTAATTCCAGGGCAGACCGCTGTTTATGCTGGCAGGAAAAGGTGGAAAGGTGTTCCATCGCGTTATATTTGGAACAGCCAAGATTAAGCTTCAGCGATCGTGAGTACGTAACTAAATGATGTAGAATATGTATACTTCATTGAGAGCTACACACCCAGAGCTGTACAGTAGAGCCATGTTTTTGCTGGCAGGATTCTCCATTGTCACATAACATAACCTTTTATAGTGTCCATCCAGTGTGTTTGTGGAAATGACTCACACACTCTTACACACATACAGGTAACGGGGTGCAATGCAAACACACACACGGTCATTATCATGGCAAAGTGCTCCTCCAGCTGCCGTCGCAAAACATCGGGAGCTTTAAAGCAGAGTCGAGACTGAACACAATCGAAAAAGAAAAAATGTACAAAAAGGCACATTTGACCCCAGTGCTCCTGTACTGTGAGATTCAAGTGTTAAGTGAGCGTCTGTAGCATGGCTGTTGTAGCTCTTTAGAGACAGCATCCCTCTCTGAGCGCACTCGTCTGGCTGCTCACATTTTGTTAGCATAGGGGATAACATCATACTGTCTGTTAGCCTGAATGCTATCCGGTGCCAGGCCTTGCTCGGCAAGGAGTCAGAATGGTCCCTAGTGTCGCCCACCTTCGTCAGCGAGCTGTCTCTTGGTAATACTGAAGTGCAGATCCATAACTCATGTTCACCGATTATCCTCTTTCCTTTAACCCCACCCACCCAACCTGAGCTTAGGATGGGGTGTGGAGGGTGGTTGTTTGGGGTGCTAATCCTCCCCTCCACCGTAGAGGTCGGCCAGTTTGCGGAAGCGGGGCCCCCAGTCTCCGAGGTAGTCATAGTCCTGGTCGCTGCAGCTGGAGGAGGAGTGCAGGGAGCTGAGGGAGCCGGCGGTGGAGCCGCTGCCCTCGTAGTCAAACACCAGCAGGGAGTCGTATGGGGGGGCGGTGGGGTCGTTGTCTGCTGCCTTCAGGCCCTGGAGAGAAACAACAGGGTTAGGAGGGTTACTTTAAAACATTTATTGAATTGCAACGGCTCCCGCAGCGTCAGGTCTAAAACCACCAGACTCAGGGACAGCTTCACCCCACAGGCCATGAGACTATTAAACACCTGAACTCTTTAAAGAACATCCATAAACATTCCTCTGTTTGCATCTTGCAAATGATGTATCTAATACATCATATTCCATTTACTTATATATAGACTCTTCTGCATGCTGGCTCTCATCTGTGTCACAAGTGATCAAGCCATCAGCCTGATGAGCCACACCTGGGTGGCTTGGATAAAGAGCCCAAAACCATCCCACATTGTGGCTCTCACTTTAGAACACAGCTGCTGTTTTGGTACACATATCCCACACCCATACATGCATACACACCTGATGACTGACTTCCACATTTGTTTTAGGTTTGCTAAGTGTTGTTATATTGTGAATAAATAAGTATTTTGTTACATGTAAACTGGTCTTCCATCTTTGTGCAGCCTATGAGCCGAGCTGTAACACATGGGACGATCCCGGGAAAATCCCGGACGAGCGCCCATCTGTTACTTTTGGATTACCTCAATATCAAATGCAATGCAAATAAATAAAAGAGATAAGAAATATCAATAGGATGGCTTTAATTCAGAATAATGTAACCTTAGAAAAGAAGAAACAACATATTCAAGACCAAAAATGTGTCCTCTGCTCAGAGATTTTATTGATAGGAAAACGTGCCTTTCATTGAGCACATACTACAGTTGAAAAAAGCAGAAATAACATCTGAGCTGACAGAGAAAAGCTCTGTTTTAGTTTAATTCATACAGTTAAGCTCACCCACTTATTTTATGAACATATAGGTTCACCTACTGAATAAAAAAAGGACTAAGCAGATTCAAGCAGTAGGCTTATATATTTACACAAAGCATCAGCCTACAGAACAGTACAGTTTACAAATAATACATTAAATCTGATCCTTTTACAACAAAGACAATATGCTTTTTTTTACTATAAGTAAAACTGTCATCCTGCTAGTAATGCACAATTTTTAGAAATATAACAGTAATCTGATAACGTCTTTTTTGCATGTAACTGTAAGGGAATACAGTAAATATTTTGGTATCCTGATTATGTAATCCAGTTACATGTGATCTGATACTCCTCAGTTTGGAAAATAAGGCCACTGTTGGTTACGGTATAACTGCACATCACCAGCTGTTCAAAGTGCTGCAGATGAAAGATTCACACACATCCTGCGTTTGATGTGTGATAGAGCATTCACAGCAGACTTCTGTTATTCTGTGAGTTCCATCCTCATCACTTCTGTTTTGTTTTTTTATCAATATGTGATTCTTCAAAAAATCACATACATAAGTCGAAAACACAGAACCAAAAGCAATACATACATACACACAGAACAACTACATTACATTAAAGAAAAATCACAATAATAAATTAAATTGGTACATACATACAACAAGGGCACTTGAATACATCACCAACCATCCAGTTTTCCAGTAATAAGACCGTATTTCTGCAGAGGATATCACAGTCATTTTAATTTGAACATATTACCCTGCCCCAGGTTCGTTCAGTAATTGAGATAGGTTGTTGTTCTTGGTATAAAACGTCCCCAGACCTTCTGGAACAGCTTTTGTTTGTCTTTGAGAATGGAAGTAATTTTTTCTAAAGGCAGACATTCCGTAAAAAGTTCCGTAAACCACTGTGCAATACTAGGTTTGCCCAACTTTTTCCATGTTAAAGCAATCACTCTTTTTTAGGGATGTCCCGATCACCTTTTTTTGCTCCCGATCCGATTCCGATCATTTGATTTTGACAATCTGCCGATACAGATTTTTCCCGATCCGATCTTTATGCAATGCATTAAGAGAAAAAAAAGGCAACAGATAACAGCTGGTCATCTAACGCGATGAATTCAGCTATCTTGGCTGTTATTTGTTTGGCCTTTTCACTGTTCTGGGGCAGTTTCTCTTTCCTTTTAAAAGTCTCTGAAAGTGTCGGTTGTTTCAGTGCCATTACCTGAGTGGCTGCTGTGTACTCGTCGTGTTGTTGTTGGTGTTTGTTTCTCAGGTGGCGTATTAGATTGGTCGTGTTGAACGTAGCTCTGTTCTTTCCACCACGCGGAACCTCCGCCTTGCAAATATTGCATCTGGCTGTTACACTGCCTTCGCTTTCAATTTTATAATACTTCCAAACTCCTGACATTTTCTCTGTCCCGACTCCCGAGTCACCAGCTGAACGTAGCCTCTCGTTAGCTTACTGCTACTATTAGACACTGCGCCCACTCTGTTGCCAGATTTGAGAGAAATAAGCAACCAGGTCTGAAAGCCCAAAAGAAGCAACACATACATGATGTTGTGTAATTTTAAACCAAAACTAAGGCCTCAGGATGACTTTAAGACGTGAACATGGTCATTTTTGTTTTGTAACATTAAATAAAATACAAATATTTTATTACATTTTATTTTTTTTAAAAGTCCCGATCCCCGATTTTTTTTTCCCGATTCCAATCTTTGGAAAATCACGTGATCGGCTCCGATCCCCGATCGGAGCGGGACATCTCTACTCTTTTCGCTTGTAATAAACAGATATCTATACAGATTTGTTCATAACGCTGTATGTTATGTCCATCCGGATATAGGCCAAGTAAAAACATTTTTGGTTCCAGCTTTAAGTTGATCAATAAAATATTCTGTACTGTTACCCTAACCTCTTCCCAGAATTCCTTTATTATTGGACATAACCATTAGGGCTGTGCCATTTAATCGATCCTGCGATATATATCGATATTTAGTTTTCCGAGAAAGTATCGATATTTCAGCCGCGGGTATCGATACATTAAGTCTGATAACTGTGTTCGTTATTCTCGCGTCCAGGAGAGAAGCTTTAAAAAGGAGACTAATTGAGTCTCTGAGAAGGTTCAAATGTATACTTTAATTAATAAAAAGTGCGGTAATGTTACTAGCAGAAGATGGTTCAGTCAGAAAAACAGCTGTGTTCTGGCTCTCGTGAGCGAAGGGAAGAGAGCGAGCTCCACCTTTTCAGCTGTTAAATATCCTCTGCTGGCTCCTCCCTGTGGCAGTAGGGCCTGGCTAATTTCGTGGCATCTGCAGGCAGTGGCAAGTACTTCCGGCATATGCCACAGAGGCCGCTACTCTGTGGTAGCTGTGGCAAGTACTTCCGGCATATGCCACAGAGGCCGCTACTGTGGTAGCTGTGGCAAGTACTTCCGGCATATGCCACAGATGCCACAACTTGCCGAGGCATCTGCCGCTGCTCAACGGGAGTTGCCACAAGATGCCAGAGTAAGAGAACGTTTACGGTAGCTGCCACTCGCCTTCCGTGGCAAATGCTGCTATTTAAACCCGTTTTTATCGTGTAAAATGTCGCTGTTTTGGCATGACTTTATCGAACTGATCTGTACACAGGACTGATGATCTGTGCACAGGGTTGGGTTGTAACTGAATACATGTAACGGCGTTACGTAATCAGAATACAAAAATCAAGTAGCCTAACTGTATTCAGCTCGCGTTACATTTGAAAAACAACTAATCCGAATACAGTTACTTTCGTAAACCTGAAGTGAATACATTTTGGAATACTTATTGGAATTATTGGTGGAAAAGTTTCCTCACAACATGTATCCTAATATTCATTACTAGCAGAACTGTGTGCACAGCTCATCTGCGTGCCCCCGCACGCAGATGAGAGAGATCTCTTTTTAAATATATTGAAAGTTAGAAACGGAGATGGTTCGATAAAACGTGCAAGATAACGTTTATGTAGCATTTCTTTATTGTCGAAATGATGACATTTCATAACTGGATCAAATCAAAGTGAATGGCCTGCTGCTGCTGAAGGCATGGGGCAAATATAAGTCCTTTGCCTAATTTATAAAGTAAACCTTAGCATCTCACTAGCAGTGGCAACTGCAATCAGTTACAGCTGCCCTAAGTCTGTAGCCAAGTCTAATAACACCAGTGTACACATTGCTGTGTCAATACAGATATTTATTTGTTAATTATTTGTCTTTACTAGTCATACACCTGGTTTATCGTAGCAAGCAGTGGAAACTCCGCTTAAGAAGCGGAAATTGCCAAGGGCGTTGCAACCCTCACTCGCCAATATTTCATCATAAATATAGCACGTTTGTTTATTTTAGCAAACCATGCTCCAAGTAAAATTGAATAGAAATTATAATGTTTAAAAAAATAGAGATCGGACCATCAGTCCTGTGTACAGATCAGTTCGATAAAGTCATGCCAAAAGAGCGACATTTTACACGATAAATACGCATTTGCCGCGGAAGGCGAGTGGCTGCTACCGTAAACCTTCTCTTACTCTGGCATCTTGTGGGAACTCCCGTTGAGCAGCGGCAGATGCCTCGGCAAGTTGTGGCATCTGTGGCATATGCCGGAAGGACTTGCCACAGCTACCACAGAGTAGCGGCCTCTGTGGCATATGCCGGAAGGACTTGCCACTGCCTGCATATGCCACGAAATGCGCTTGCTGTCTCTCCCCTGTGGGCCGGTTGGCGCTGCTGGGGGCCGGCCCTCCACGTCTCCAATGTTCGTTGTTGCGCATTACAGAGGATTCAGACATTGTACATTAAATATATAACTAAACACGCCTTTTCTCCTCCTTATCTCTTTCATGACTTTTCATTTAATACATTTTAAACGCTGTAATCAATACTCCAAAAATACCTCACGGCTGGTATCATTTCCGGTAGTTCCGGATGTTGTCTCATGCTACCCACGTCTGTAAACAAACGTATTCAAATAAACTGTACCTTCATTTAATATTCAACAATAATAATATCTCGACGTCTATAGTTGTAGTGTTGAAATCAGTAGATTTCGGTGTGCAACACTCCGTGTCATATCGCTACTAAATTCACCTCTATAGTAAATGGTATATTAGCCACATGCTAAATGCTAACCGGAGATGAAGGATTTTCAGAATAAAAGCTTAAC